ATGAGAATAATCCTCTCCTCTCTACCCTTTGCTCATAATCAAGGTCCCTCATTCCTGGTACCATTCTTGTAAATCTCCTCTGCACTCTTTCCAATGCCTTAACATCCTTCCTATAGTGCGGTGCCCAGAACTGGGCGCAGTATTCTAACTGAGGCCTAACCAGTGTTTTATATCGGTTAATCATAACCTCTGACTCTTGTACTCTATGTCCCTATTTATAAAGCCTCGTATCCCATATGCCCTTTTTACAGCCTTATCAACCTGTCCTGTCACCTTCAACGATTCATTTACCTGCACCCCCAGGTCTCTCTGTTCCTTCACCCCTCTTAACATTGTATTACCAGCCTGTATTGCCTCCCCTCATTCTTTCTACCAAAATGCATTACTTCGCATTTCTCTACATTGAAACTCATCTGCCATGTGTCGCCCATTTTACCATTCTGTCTATGTCACCAGTCTGTCTGTCTTCCTGCAGTCTGCTACTATCCTCCTCGTTGTTTAGTATGGTTTCCATGTTTAGTGTCATCTTCGAACTTTAAAATGTTGCTCTCTATACCCAAGCCATTAATATACACAGGGTAAATAAAAATTTGCAATACTATTTATTTTAATAATAATTACTAATAACATTTCTTTAAGACTTATTAGACATTGTAATGGTTTCAAGACTTTTTGGTCACACTGTATTAAAAAGAGCAGTGGTCCTAACACCAACCCTGTATACAACCCTTGTGTAACCTCCCTCCAGTCGGATAAACAACCATTCACCTCTACCCCGTTTTCTGTCTCCCAGCCATTCTCAGATCCATGCTGCCACTGCACTACCTTCATCAACCCTCTCCATTACTTCATTGAAGAACTCAAGTTAGTTAGATACTATTTGCCTTTAACAAATCTGTTTTGGTTGTCCTTTAACAATCTATGTTTTTCCAAGTGAAAATTGTTGTGGGGAAATGTTTTTCTAAAGGCAGCCACAAAATAGCAGCTTAATAACTGGTCTAGGCAGATACCACTTGGTGCCTTGCTCTCAGCTGAGATTAGGTGAAAAATTAGCTTGGGTGAAGAAATTTAGATGTCACCCACTACTGTATCAATTTGAAGACAATTATAGCAATCACATATTTCTCATGGATATAAACACATTAATTCAAAAATTCTTCTGGTCATTAAAATGTTAGCAGCTAGGAAGTAGTTGTGACATTAGTGTGAAAGCAACCCATAGGGAGTGGATGGATGGAGGAAAAGGAGAGGGAAAAGACTAATCTCCCCTACAGCACATTCTTCTTTCACCTCCTTGTGGTGCTTCACTATCCCGATGGGATGAGAGAAGGTACACAGCGCATTTGTGGGGTTAGCAGCTTCCAAGCTCATGTGCCTGGCAATGGAATATCGGAATCAAGTCAATGCTCTGTGGCAGTTGAAGTAGCCAGGACTATCCACAGTACTCCAAAGCTGTTGATGACAGACTAACCAGTATTGGGTCTTTTGCAAGATTTGAGGAGCAAACCAGATATTGAAAGAAGCGATTCCTGCCACCCAGCTCTTGTTAAGCCTGTATACCAAAGCCCTGGCAGGTGGTGTGGTTCTGTTTGGACAAGCAGCGGGAAGCTTGCTTTCCATAATGCAAAGTAAAACAAAATCCAGGGAGTTCCTATCCTCAGCTGAGAAACTGCAGGACACTTTTTTCACTTCAAAACATTAAAGGAACAACTTAATCTGCAAAAATAGAGGGAGAGGGACATTAGTTCAACTGCTCATACCTTGCTTTTCAACTCATTTATCTCACGAGCATGGCTTCTCTCCAGCTGTTCCTGCTGTTGACTCAGCTGCATTTTTTGCTGCTGTTTAATGCTCTCAACATCAGAGCTCAGACTCTCAAGCATGCGATTTTTCAGCTCCATCTCTCGCTGCAGTGAATACTTATCTTGCTCTAGAACCTGCAAAGTCACAAAAGGAAATCATTGAATCATAAAATTAAACAGCACAGTAGGAGGCGATTCAGCACATCGTATCTGTGTCGGCTCTTTTAAAAGAGCTTCCAAATCAATCCAACTCCCCCACTCGCTCCCTATAGCCCTGCAAACCTGTCCTCCCCATTTCAGTGAAAAATCTTCCAAGTGAATTTAATTCAGTTATTTTATTTAAACCAATTTGATCCACTAAAGAGCAATAATTGCGATTTTTAAAACAAAGGTTTATGCAGGATTCTTAAAAGAAAGTTAATATTTTGAAGAAGGAAGTGAGAGTTAAAGGCTTACAAAGGATTTATTATCTCCAGACTCAATATTAACAACTTGCCTTTATATAGCGTTCTTCATGCAGGATAGTGTCCCAGAACGCTGATGCTGACTTCTCCAATGCACTGCTCGCTCCAAGCTCTATCCTCCACAAGCTCCAGATCATCAAGAATTCCGCAGCTAATTCTCTCTCACACAAGAATACACAAGCCCATCTCCCCAGCCCCATTGGTTCTTGATTTCCCAGCAGACTGACCTTCAGATTCTCATCTTTAACTTCATAAACCTCCATGGACTTGCCCCATCCAATCTCTGCAATCTTGTGAGATCCTACTCTTCCACCACCACTTGAGCAGATCTAGCCTGCTTCATGTCTTCCATTGATGGATAAGCTTAGAGATACTCTTCTTCCACTTTCTGGAACTCTCTTCCAAAACCCCTCTGCTTCGCTCCCACTTTTTCCACTTTCAAACCATGAAAAATCTCACTCTTTGACTGCACCTTCAGCCACCTCAGGCTACCACTCAATCTTCCCAAGGCACTGTAAGACATTCTATGTGAAAGGTGCTATGTAAGCGCAAAACGTTGTAGTAGACATCAAAAACTGGAGCTCCAAAAAAAAAAACTCCTGGGAGGAAAATCATACAAGTGAGGTCACACAATCACCCAAGCCTCCTGTCAGCGCCTCCACACCTCAGGCACTGACAGCATCACCATCCAAGGATGCAATTTCCACCTCACTGAGCCAGTCCAGAACCTTGGCGTCTTGTTTGACCCTCAACTATCCTTGCTATCCCACATCCGTGGCAGGTCCTGCTCTTCCTTCCCCCACCTCTACAACATCGACCAGCTCCGCCACTGTCTCACACCGTAGAGGCCAAGACCCTCATACACGCATTTATAACATCCAGGCTTGACTATGCAAACTCCCTGCTTCTCGGCCTCCCCAACTCCTCCCTCCATAGGTTGCAGATCATCCAGAACTCTGCAGTCCATGTCCTCTCCCACACCAGGCTCTGTGACCCTATCACCCCCATCCTCGTCCGACTCCACTGGCTTCCCATCACACAGAGGATACAGTTCAAGATCCTGGTCCTCACCTTCAAAGCCCTCCATGGTCTTGCTCCCACTATCTCTGCGACCTCCTAACCCCCTATCAGCCTACCGCTCCCTTTGCTCAGCGGGCTCCTGCCTGCTTCACGTCCCCTGCCTCGTCTGCCCCACCATTGACGGGCAGGCCTTCAGCAACTCTGCCCCCACCCTCTGGAACTCCATCCCGCAGTCCCTCTGCCTCACTCCCTCCCTTCCCTCTTTCAATACCCATCTCAAGACCCTCCTCTTCAACTGTGTCTTCAATCACTCTCTTTTGCCCTCGACCCTCCCCGATCCCCAGCTCGGGTCCGATAGACTTATTGTCCACGCCTTCGGACGTCCTCCCAATGTGAAAGGTGCTATACAAATGTATTTTTGTTGCTGTTTAATCACCTTTTGGCACCTCCTGCTTGCAAACTTTTGTTCTTTGACGTAAAGGAAAAGATTTGAACAACTTTAACTCGAATTTACATAGCGTCCTTCATGCAGGATGGCCTGTGTCATTGCTGCACAATGGCGGGGATACACACTGAGCTGGGGAGTGGCAAGCGAGGGGTAGGTGTAGTCAAAAAGGGAAGACTTAAAGTAGGATTTAAAGCTCAAGGGTTCGAGTGCAGAAGGATTAATAATAATCCTTACATTTGATATAGAGCCTATCATATCTTTGAGACGTCTCAAAGCACTTCACAGAATATACTGTAAAGTGAATTGAGTATATATTTTGTGGGCAAAATGCGGCAGCCAATTGCGCATAGCAGTGTCCCAAACAATCGTGAATTGAGTAAACAATTTTTAAAAATTATTTTGAAGGAATTATTACCCCCAGAAAAACAATCCACCAATCGACTAACAACCGGGTTCCCACTTACTCTAGGTAAACAGATGTGTGTGGAGTAAGAAAACTTGACAATGTTTCACCCTGCTAGGAATCGAACCCGGGTCTTCTCGCTTGTGAGGCGAGTGCTCTAATCCCTAAGCTATAGGAATCCACAGAACTCCAGGAGTTAGGGGGATGACAACTGAAGGTGTGACTTCCAATGGTGGAGGGGATGTGGTGGACACATAATAGGCCTGTATCATTTAAGCGAGGCGGGTGGACAGAAGAGTGTTGTACGATTCAATTAACAGTGTTATCTCTAGATCCTCTACCCATTCAGTAACTCCTTCCCCAATATGTGAATTATATTTTATTTTTTCATGATTATGATTATCCAACTTACCCTCTCCCTCACCTCCCTTAAGATCCGTGTCAAAAACTACCTCAGTCACTGTGCTTTCAGTCATTTCTCCCCTCCCACATCCTCGGCTCCCACCCCTAGCTCAGGCGCCCAGCCAGTACTGTTAGGCAATTTGGGACGTCCTCCCGACATGGAAGGTGCTATATAAATGTAATTTGTATTGTATATCGTGCTGAGTAAGCTGTACACATTGTACCTCTATGGAAGTGGTAAATTCAGCTCGCGATTCCATCAGCTGGTTCTGCAGCTCTGCCTGGCTCTCCAGCAGCTGCAGGCCATACTGAGCCGCTTTCATCCGCTGCTCCTCCACCTCCTGAAGCTGCTGGCGAAGCTGCAGCACCACATCCTCCAACTCTGGAACAGTCGGCATGATGAAAGGCTGCAGATCAAACACAAAACACATCAGTCCTGTTACAATATTAGCTGAATCATTATAATATTCTGACGGCATAGGGCTAGTAGAATACACAGTATGTAGTACAATCAACAGCAGAATGCTACAGCTCCAATAATGGCTTAGAGGGAGTGAAGATATATCAGGAGTTTACTGTGAGTTTACTGTGTTTATTTCACTCAAGTATGAAACTCAACTATCAAGCTTATATATTAATGACTTGGACTTAGGTATAGAGAGCAAAATTTTAAAATTCGCAGATCACACAAAGCTTGGAAATGTAGCAAACAGTGCGGAGGATAGCAACAGGATGCAGGAGGACATAGACAGCCTGATAAAATGGGAAGAGACATGGCAGATGGAATTTAATCCAGAGAATTGTGCGGTGTTGCACAATTGATGACATCATAAACCTCTCCATGTCATCCGGCACTGTTCCTTCCCCCTCAAAACAGCCACTATCACCCCCACCTTGAAGAAACCTTCCCTTGACCCATCACATCTATCCAGCTACCGGCCCATCTCAAATCTCCCCTTCCTATCCAAGGTCCTTGAGAGAGCAGTTGCCTCCCAGCTTCGCTCTTTCCTCTCCTCCCACTCCCTCCATGAACCCCTCCAATCAGGATTCTGTGCTGCCCACAGCACAGAAACTGGTCTGGTCAAGGTCACAAACCTTCAAAGTTCTGTCCTTGACTGGTTCAGGTCCTACCTTTCACACCGCCTTCACTTTGTCTCAGCTAACGGCTTCTCCTCCAGCCACTGCACCATCGTGTGCAGTGTTCCTCAGGGCTCTGTCCCCGGTCCCCTCCTCTTCACCCTCTATATGCTCCCCTTAGTGACATCATCCGCAGACATGGGGTAAATTTCCACATGTATGCGGATGACACCCAACTCTAACTTTCTGCCTCCACCCTTAACTCCAGGAACTACTGGAGTCCTGTCCGACTGCCTGTCCAACATCAAGTCCTGGACGAGGGCCAACTTTCCCCAGCTGAACGTCAGCAAGACCGAGGCCCTCCTGATTGGCTCACGCCAGCGCCTCCGCACCTCGGGCGCTGGCAGTATCAGCCTCCACAACTGCACACAACCTCATTAAGCCAGTCAGGAACCTGGGTATCTTGTTTGACCCTGAACTGTCCTTTCTCACCCATATCCGCGCCATGACCGGCACTGCCTACCACCACCTCCGCAACATTGCCAGACTCTGCCACTACCTCAAACTTCAGGCTGCCAAAACACTTATCCACGCATTCATCACATCAAGGCTCGATTATGGAAATTCCCTCTTTATCGTCCTTCCCAACTCTTCCCTTCACAGGCTGAAGATCATCCAAAACTCTGCAGCTCCTGTACTCTCGCGCACCAGGCTCCGACCCCCATCACTCCCACTTTCGCCCGACTCCACTAACTCCCCATCCCTCAGAGGATCAAACTCAAGATCTTCATCCTCACGTTCAAGGCCATCCATGGCCTTGCCCCCTCCTACCTCTCTGACCTGCTGACTCCCTACCAACCTGCCCGCTCCCTCCGTTCAGCAGGTGCCAGCTGCTCCATGTCTCCCGCCCAACCAGCCCTACCATCAGTGGACGAGCTTTCAGCCTCTCTGCCCCCTCACCCTGGAACTTCATCCCTTCGACTCGCTTCCTCCCTTGTCTCCTTCAAGACTCTCCTCTTTGATCGTGCCTTCAGGCACTCTCCCACCTCTCTGCCTTCCCTCACCCCTACTCCACCCCTTTGGTCTCAAATTGACAAAGAGTATAAAAAGCAAGGACGTTATGTTGAACCTTTACAAATTGCAAGTAGGACTCAGCTGGAGTATTGTGTCCAATACTGGGCACCACACTTTCGGAAGGAGATCAGGGCCTTTAAGAGAGTGCAGAGGAGATTTACAAGAATGATACCTGAGATGAGGGATTACAATTATGTAGAGAGACTAGAGAGGCTGGGATTATTTTCCTGCATTTGCATTTGAGGGGTTTTGATAAAGTAGATAGGGAGAAACTGTTTCCTCTGGCGGGTGGGTCAGTAACCAGAGGACACAGATTTAAGATAATTAGCAAAAGAAGCATAGTAGAGACAAGGAGAATTTTGTTTACTCAGAGAATTATTAGGTCCAGAATGCACTGCCTGAAACGGTAGTGGAAACGGATTTATTACCTTTCAAAAGGGAATTGGATAGGGATCATAGAATCATACAGCACAGAAGGAAGTCATTCGGCCTATCTTGTCTGTGCCGGCTCTTTGAAAGAACTATCCAATTCAATCCCATTCCCCCACTCTCTCCCCATAGCCCTGCAAACATATCCTCCCCAAATAATTATCTACTTCTCTCTTAAAGATTGTTAACGAATCGGCTTCCACCACTCTTTCAGGCAATGCATTCCAGATCTGAACAATTCGCTGTGTGAAAAAATTTCTCCTCACCTCCCCTCTGTTTCTTTTAACAACTATTTTAAATCTCACACGCCAGTGGAAATACTTTCTCCTTATTCACCCTATCGAATCCCCTCATTATTTTTAAAACTTCTATTAAGTCTCCTCTTAACCTTTAAACTGATTTCGAGGGGGGATGGGGATCAGAATGTAGCATCAGGGAGAGGAAATGAGGTACATAGCGGACAAGGGAAGACAAATAGAAATGAAACAAGGAATAGTCCAGCAAAAAGTGGAAAGAGACGGGGGAGAAATGTAGAGCGGATTAAGCCGGTCTTGGACTGCATGTGTGTAAATGCACAGAGCGTGACCAATAAGCTTGGTGAGCTGCGGCTCAAGTTGCCACATGGAGTTATGATGTATTGGCAATTACAGAGACTTGGCTCAAGCAAGGACAGGAATGGGAGCTGAATATTCCTGGCTACAACCTAATCAGGAGGGATAGGGAAGGAAAAAAGAGGGGTGGTTATACTCATTAGGGACACGGTCACGGTCCTGGAAAAGGACGATGTGTTAGAGGGTCCAGAAACTGAATCTATTTGGTTAGAGTTAAGGAGCAGAAAAGGAGCTGTTACTTTGTTAGGTATTTACTATAGACCTCCAAATAGTGGGAAAGAGATATATGAATAAACCTGCAAGCAGATTTCGGAGAGATGCAAAACCAATAGAGTAGCGATAATGGGGAACTTCAATTATCCTAACATAGACTGGGAAACATACAGTGTAAAGGGTTAGGGTAAAGGGGAGGAATTCCTGGAATGTGTACAGGAAAACTTTCTGGATCAGTATGTTTCCAGCCCAACAAGGAAGGAAGCAGTGCTGGATTTAGTTTTGGGAAATGAAGTGGGGCAAGTGGAGCAGGTTTCAGTAGGAGAGCATCTGGATAACAGTGATTACAATATCATTAGGTTTAGAATAGTTATGGAAAAACAATCAATCACAGGTAAAGGCCCTCAACTGGAAGTGGGCTAATTTCAGTGAGCTACAAAGGGACCTGGCCAAGATAGATTGGAAAGAAAGATTGGCAGGTAAGGTAGCAAACAAACAATGGGAAGCCTTCAAGAAGGAGATAGTTCGGGGAGCGAGCAAATACATTCCCACAAAGGGGAAAGGTAGGACAGTCAAACCTCCCTGGATGACTAAGGAAATTGGGATTAAAATAAAACAGAAAAGGAGGCTAATGACAAATGTCAGGTCCAAAACACACAGGATAATCAAACAGAACATAGGAAGTACAGAGGAGAAGTGAAAAGGGAAATAAAAGGGGCGAAGAGATTGTACGAGAAAAGATTAGCAGGAAATATAAAAGGGAACCTTAAGGTATTTATAAGCATATCAAGAGTAAAAGGTTAGTCAAAGGTAGGGTGGGTCCAATTAGGGACCCCAGTGGAAATCTTCTTGTGGAGGCAGAGCCCATGACTGATGTACTAAATAGGTACTTTGCAACTGTCCAATGCCACAATATCGCAGGCGTGTGAACAGAAATTGGATATGATAAAAATCAACGGAGGTACTAAAAAGACTATCGGTGCTCAACATAGATGAGTCACCTGCGCCGGACGGGATGTATCCTAGGTTACTGAGGGAAGCAAGGGTGGAAATAGCGGAGGCTCTGCCCACAATCTTTCAATCCTCTTTGGACACTGGAGTGGTGCCAGAGGATTGGAAGGTTGCAAATATTACGCGCCTGTACAAAAAGGGGCAGAAGGATAAACCTGAGAACTACAGGCCAGTCAGTCTAACATCAGTAGTAGGGAAATTTCTGGAGACTATAATCCGGGACAATATAAATTTTCACTTAGACAAATATGGGTTAATAAAGGAGAGTCAACTCCAATTTGTTAAAGGCAGATCGTGTCTGACAAACCTAATAGAATTTTTTTGATGAAGTGTGGATGAAGGTAGTGCAGTAGACATAGTTTATCTAGATTCTCAAAAGGCATTTGACAAAGTGCCACATAAGAGACTTATAAACAAAATAGAAGCCCATGGTATTAAAGAGAGTCTGGCAATATGGACCCAGGACTGGCTGGGAGACAGAAAGCAGAGAGTGGTAGTAAACGGTTGCTTTTCTGACTGGAGTGAGATGTGTAGTGGTGTCCCTCAGGAGTCAGTATTGGGACCACTGCTCTTTCTGATCTATATTAATGATCTGGACCTGGACATAGGGAGCACAATTTCCAAATTTGCAGACGATAATAAGCTAAGAAAAGTAGTTAATGGTGATGAGGATAGCACCAGACTCCAAGAGGACTTAGGCAGATTGGTAAAATGGGCAGAAACGTGGCAAGACAAGGTTTAATGTGGAGAAATGTGAAGTGTTGCATTTTGGTAGAAAGAATGAGGAGAGGCAGTTTAAGCTGATGGTACAATCTTAAAGGGGGCAAATGAACAGAGAGACCTGGGGGTCCACATAAGCAAATCTCTGCAGGTGGCAGGACAGGTAGACAAAGCTGTTAAAAAAAAACATACGGGAAACTAGGTTTTATAAATAGGGGTATAGAATACAAGTCAGGAGGTTATATTGAATATTTGTAAAATGCTGGTTAGGC